ATATTTTCATACAGATATTTCATTTGAATTTAGGACAAGATGATGTGACGTTTCGGTTCTTGGTTGAGGCAAACAACCAGAGTGAATGGACATGGAAGTTTTATTTTAAGTGGATATTAAGTATTTGTACTGGTAGCTACATTATTTCGAGTGCTATATCTCTTCTTGTTTGCTATCATGAGTATGGGCAATTCAATCATGACCATGTATACATTCCGTACAGTCAGATGTAAGATGAGCAGAAGAAAAAGTTTGTTTAAATATTTACATTTCAAGTGTATAAATTTTTCAGATTTCCATGGAACCAATCAACGTTAACTGGATATCTTCTTGAAATCGGAGAAAGCACTTACTTTGGCGCGGCATATTTAATTGCAAATGGCATTCTTGTACTATTATTTATATCAATGTGCTTACAACATCGTGCATTTTTCAAAATATTTCAATACTCTTTGCAAAAAATGCACAATCTCCACAAAGATCCAAATGGCATACACGAATCATTTTGTAAAGTGATTTCATTTAATAACACGATCAAAGAGTAAGAATCACAAGAGTTTCTCCAACAATTTGTTATTTTTAATATATTATATAGTTTTCTTTAGTTTATCGAAGATCATTTAATGACAAATTCAAACTTTTTAGGTGGTTTTCACTTTCGGCTGAATTATACAGTCTAACTACAGTCTAGATGTTATTTGTAATGTCCGATTTGATTGGTAAAATGTTGATATCATCTATAAGTATTTTCTTCGGGATACAGGTACTTTTATTTCAATTTTTTTGTAAACTAAAAACTAACCAATATTCTCTAATTCCAGCAATTGCATAACGGTGATTTTGGAGTTATCATTATATCTACCCTAGCATTCATGTTTGGTATTTCAAATCTTGTGATCTACTGTTTCTATGGACAGATTGCTTCAGATAGTTATGATAATATGGTTGATTGTCTATATGAATCTAACTGGATTGAAATGCCTGTTAATCTACAAAAATATTTGATTCTTATGATTGCAAATGCACAGAAACCAATGTTTTATCATGGATTTGGCCTTGTGAATCTTACTCGAGAGACTTTCACGAAAGTATGACCAACCATTCATATTTACCATATTTCAAATTATAATAAAATATTTATTTATTATTTACAGTATTTTCGGGCAATTTTCACCTATTACATGCTTTTCGAAAAAATTAGCAATTAATTAACATTTTGAAGAATGTTTACGCCTTTATTATTCTAACTTATATTTTATGATCAATTTTTCGTGCACATTTTTGAAATAATGACAAATCTTTATGCAAATCGAATGTTAAAAATGGATCTTGATGTTTATGCACATTGCACAATAATTTATTCGCACCAAATAATAGCGTAAAATAGAAGGAGACAAAAAAAAGTTATTTTCTCAAGTCAAGACTCTTAACTTAAGAAATAGAGCGGTAAGAAAATATCTGAAATAGTTTTTTAGTCAATTTTAAATACGTGTGATTCAGTATTTTCGAATATTGTTTCAATAACGAAAATTGTTTTTTTTTTGGAAAAAAAATTACAATATGTGTCACTTTTAGTGAAAACTTGTTGTTGGTGCGCTTCTGATGAACCATTTTTCTTGGGATACTATTTCAACAAATATTCTTCGGGTGCATTTCTGAATGAAAAAAAAGAATCTGCTGTCACTCGTATTTAACATGATTTGACATATTTGAGACCAATATAAATTATATTATGTTTACACACATGTTTGTTGTACACAATTCAATTGAATTTAGCAGTTTTTGAAGCAACCATGTATACATTAATAGAAATTAAATATTAATCATGGCAATAAAGTTACTACACTTCAGTTACTAATGTGATAAGGCTTCTTTATTCGAATTTTCTTCTCTCCAAAATCATGAAAATTTACAAAACTAATTGAACAGTTCAAATTAAGTTAATAGTTTGATGGATCAATGATAGTTTCCTCTCGAAATGCGGAGTTGGCAGTGAACACAAACTGACTCTGTTTTTTATTTTTTTATTTTTGACTTTTCAAACTGCAACATATAAAATTACAAAATCGCTGAAATGGGTTATTTATAATCAAAACTATGAGAAAAAGACAATGTTCGTTTTGCGAATTTTTATTGAATTTTCTATGTTTTGTACAGAGTGACAGACTAAATTGGCCACATTCCTGACTACATTGATATAAAAAAAAAGTTGTGTTTGACAGTTTCAGACGTAAAAGTGTGCTCAATATAGAATCTTACAGTGCATGCTTGTTGTTCAATCCAAATGGAGTTATTTCACATGAAAATGGCAATTCAATTGGTTTAATTCAAATCGAATGCGATTTTTTTTATTTTTTTTCTGCTTATTTTCTGTGTTGTAGTTTTTTCAAAAGAACCTATAGCTTAATATAATTTCTAAATAATCCGTTGGCAGTCGTTTCAAGAGGATAAATTCGAAGTTTATTTCTCCGAATGCCCATTTTGTGGCTACATAAATCTCTTCCTCGACGTAAAGCGTGATCTTTTGTGCGTTCGGCATCTTTTTGCGTTCTCTGTTCAATGTCAGTAAATCGATGACATTTGTATTTTTGTTGTAATGAGCTCCAGCTTTAATTTCAAACATTCTAATGCTATGTATTTTAACTGATCTTCTGATGAATTCCGTAATTGCGTCAAAACTGATGAACCTAAAAAAAAGGCGTTTGAGATTGGTGAGTTCAGTTGCCAGTATTTCACAGTCAACAATCGATTTGATTTCCGCAATACACAGATCTTCAAGATTTTTCAATAGCGCAAGTGAACGTGATACTTTCGAGTAGAGATACAGTCTGACAAGTCCATTCAGGGTTGCCAATCGATTAAGCATATCTTGATTCTAGTTTTCGATTAACATACCAGCTTGCAAATATAAATGTAGTTTTTTATAAAATCCACGTTTGTAAAGCTCATCCAAAAGATCGCACATTGATCCATTTTCAAAGTTAACTTCACTTGAAGGTGCTTTGATGGCGAGAATGTCCAGTTTTATATTGGTTGACAATATTGTGTCTCGGACTTCCATTAATATCCATCCTTTGGTTTGGAACTCCCGAATGTTCGGATTGAGTTCGAAGACAGGCGCTATTATGCCTTCGATATACTTGCTAGTGTTATCAATAAGCCCGAGATATTCCAGTGTAGGAAATTTACGATTGAGCCAACTATATTTAGTTTTGTAATCGTTTTCACCATTTTTTTTACAATAACAATGTTCAATATGCAAGCGCTTAAGTTTTGGGCAACGATCGATGACTTCATGAAAATTTTTGTTCCACTCACAATCTTCTAAGTATAGGGCCTCAACATTGCTCGTGGACATCTCTTTTAAGCGATTCACATCAATATTGCTAATGTTAATTCGTTTTAGTTGTTGAAGTTTTGATGATCTATTAAGAGCGTACTTGAAAGAATCTCGATGTATCGTTATTTCGCGGATAAATGGGACAAAAATATCCATATTGAAGAATGAATGACTTACAATTCCTCTACAAATATCAGTACAAAGTGCGCTGCCCGAATAATTTTGCTGAAAACAATATCCGGCCACTCGCTGCAGTCGTTTGCATGTTTTTCCCATGCTAACCAAATCTTCAAGTGGCAAATAGTCAAACACTTCTTCAAAACAGTCTATGTCCAATTTCAAAATGTCGGCAGTTTTTTCTTGATTAATTCGAAATTGTTTGGTGTTTGCTCTCGTTCTTTTAGCAATTGGTTCACCGCTTCCACTTGGATCTGGTTGCTTCATCGCGATGCCACTTTTTTTATTAATTTCAATTTCCAATTTCTTTATTTTTCTCGATATCAACGATACAAAGTAAAACTCAAAATTGATTGATATCGAATTGACTAAAACACCGTAGTACTTGCTCAAACAATAGGTAAACGGAAAATGGAGTGTTGTAAAAGAGTTGTAAGACGGCAAGAATTAAAATATGACTATTAACAATCGGACAGACGGCATCTTTTGAAATAGTAATTAAAATCAAATTAACTGTTGACCAAGAAACTGTCAGTATGACAGTGCCAGACTCATTTGATATTTGACGTTTGTTGAACAGCTACCGTGGTAGTAATAATACTCATTAAGTAATACTCATCAAGTATTGTATGTAATTTAAATTTATATTATCGTTGAACATATCATTTTCGAATGCAACACCAACGAAAAATTTAGTTCCAATATAACATACAGTGAAAAGTTTGATAAAACAACAGATAAGAAATAATGAAATAGAAAAAGAAATATTTTTCAATCGTTTCTATTCTTTATGTGTCACTAATTGACATTGACAATGACATGAGAACAAGAAAACATGAATATAAATTTTAAAACATACCATAGTCTCTTTTCCACGGTCAGCGTCGTTTATGCAATCCTTTTTGTTAATATTACATTTTTTCTTCAGATTATTAAAGTTATTTTGTTTTTTTTTTAATTTTTACTGTTTGAGTAAATACGAATTTTGTCTTTGAATTCAATATTATGGGAATTTTATCACATTTCTTGTAATGATAAAATAAACGACTATATTAACTATAATATTTCTAGGGCCTTCTTGACGAAATATACAATATGATTTACACCAAATATACTAATATGATAGAGCATAACCAGAATTGTATAAATTCAACATTGTTAAGTCATGGCAAAGAATGTGATTGATTTACGTTCAGAACTTAAAATGATGACTAAAATTGTTGATTAGTTCATAGTTGAATAGTTGTATTTAATTCACTTGTGAGGCAATAAAGTTACTACACTTCAGTTATTAATGTGATAAGGCTTTTTTTATTTGAATTTTCTCCTCTTCAAAATCATGAAAATTTACAAAACTAATTGAGAAAAATGTATTGTTCGTCTTTTTGAACTGATTGATTTACTAATAAAAAGAAGTAATTTGTAGAGAATTATGAAAAAAAAAATATTTCCAACAAAATATTTTTGAAAAGTTCAAATGAAGTTAATAATTTGATGGGTCAATGATAGTGACGATATCTTTCATCATGTGATTGCGAAGCTTCCATAGTTCATCAATGGCATCAGATGATTTTTCTGGAGATTTTGGTCCAAGCCAATGCATTGGCAATTTAGATGGGTCAACAGCTGGTGTTGTTTCACGTGTGGCTTTCAATATTTTTTCCCATGGTGTTATGAAACGCGTATCATTTTGCAAGCTTTCAATATACTTGATGTAGGCTTCTGAATGCAAAACTCGTTGTGGTCTTGGTGGTACAGTCACAAACAAAGGTTCAGCTGCTGGTGCTGACAAAACTGAGAATTGAAAAGAGTCAAATTAAGATTAATATCTTTCAAAAACGGAGACAATCAATGATAAACCAATACCTTGAACAGTTTGAACTGGTTGTTGTTGTTGCTGCTGTTGAACTGGCGAAGCGAGATTAGCATTGTTTGTAGCTGGCGATGGAATTGAATTCGATACTGTTGGTGTCTGAGGAGTAGCAGCTGGCTGATTCTTTTTCGATGGTACGAAATTTCTTCAAGAAAAGAACGAAATAAATAAGTAAAGTATAGCCAATTTAACAAACACTCTTCTTTGATATACTCACTTGCTTCTATCATTTGGCGTTACCATGCGACCACTTTTGATGATGTGCACTTCACGGACGTGCTTAAGCAAACGTTGCAAATGCGTAAATGGGATGATATTCTTCAGAAAGGAATTGAAATTTTGAACAAAAATATGAATGAAAATTTGAAATTGATGTATAAAATGATGAAAAAATAAAAAAGAAATCAATTTTATTAAGAAAACTTACTCTTCTTATAACAAAACTCAATAAAATCTTAGATTTAGCAAAACATAAAAAAAATTAAGCCAAAATAAATGACATAAAAAATGAACTAAATTAAATGTGCTGATAAACTTCCTGAGCTTATTATATACTTCTTTTCGAGGACAGATTATCTGTTTCTGTGCCAATGTAGTTGTAAATGTTGTTCTATATTCTTCTTCTTAATTTTTTTTCCTATTGTAATCATTTTGTTTGCATATGTGTGATTGTGGAGAACAGAAGTTGAAATGCCAGGTAAAAAAATTGTTGTGACAATTTTGAACCAAAAGTATGTGTGTGTTTTTTTATAAAATAAATTCCAAAATCTCCCAAATTTGGTTTTTTGTTCTTGGAAGCGATGCTATTTAATGTATATATATAACTGGTACCAATGCAAAATTGGCTTCGAGAAGAGATCACAAAATAAAATAAATTCGTTTAGTGGCAAATTTCTTCTTCTGTTCATCGATGTCGATTGAAACATTGATATTGATTTTTTGTTTATTCTTCTATTTGGTGAGCTCGAGTCATGTGTGATGTGAGAGAGCTCATTAAGCTGAATCGTGCACCGCAGACGTTGCATTCTTCTTTGCCGGGATTTGCTGGGTGGTGAATCCATTTATGATTTTTTAGAGCATACTTTCTACAAAGTATCATACCACATTTTTTGCATTGAGTTGATTTTTCATGTTGTACTCTGATATGGGCCAGCATGGATGGAAATCGCTGAAACCGTTCGCCACACATATCGCATTTGAATACGCCGAAAATGTTCTTGACGTGGCATTGCCGATGTAGTTGTAAATGTTGTTCTATCTGAAATATGACACCACATTCAGAACACTCGAATTTGCCTCTTTCTTCTGCTGATGAAACCCGCTCAAATTCGTCATTGGTAAATTGTGCAAAAATTACAAAGCCCATGGCGACCTATAAAACAAACATCAATTGAAAGTTAAAAAAAAATAATAAAAAATAGTAAAAATACTCAATTTTTTACACATAAAAAAATAAACATACCCTTTCTCGATCGGAAAAATCAGATCGACGTACTACTGTATTCCCATTTGCAAAATTCATAAGGCATCTTGGGATACATTTCTCCAAAAATGAGAACACGAAACTTTCCAAATCCTTGTTGATTTCTATTTTCTTTTGGCGTGTTGTTTCCTTGTCATAGGTGTATGCGACGGCCGTGACTTCCGCCTGATTTAGGGTTTTGTATTTTTTTAACTGATTTATCATCTTGACTTCGCTGTGAAATTCATTATTCCAGTGTTTAATGTAATCATTTTTTCGATGGGTGAATCGGTCAACGAGCGACGAAATGCAGTTTTCGCCGATGTGGCATGGTGCTTCAAATAGTCCCGCATCTTCTACCGTGGTGATGCGGTAGATCTTGTTGATGCTCGCAGTTCTAATGATTTCTAATGCTGATTGATCTATCGGACGTATGCCATACTTTTTCCTCAGTAATGCGATACCATCATTGTAGATTTGCTTTACGGATATTTCATTTGTGTTCATGCTGTCGTCGTCGAAGTATATTTGAAGAAGTCGATTCAAATTGACGTTTGAGATTTTTTTTTCGAGTTGTTCAAATGGGGCCCACAAATGGGGGGGTGGAAAGCGGTAATTCCACATAAGTGCTTTAGGGTCTATGACTTCTTGTGGCGACGGTTCTTTGTCCTGTTCCATTCCATCAAATTCACTCTCATCAGCCGCTAATTCTTCGTTGGCTTCACTGACATTGGTGACAATATTTTCACTGCATGTTCGTTTTGGATTTCTCCGTTCGTTCGATGGTAGTGATGATGATGATCTTTTTCGTGTAAAAAATTGTGTTTTTTTGTCATTCACCGGCGGATTTGTGAAATCGTATGGTCGTGTAAGGATGCCCTTGCGACCGTTCGCCTCGATCTCCGTTTCCACTTGAATCGATGGATCTGGAACGTTGTTGGCCATTGGTGTATCTTCGATAGTTCCATCATTCGAATCATCTGGTCGACGAACTGGTTTTTCTGGATTGGAAAATTGGGCGACAAAAACACAGAAACACACACGCATTCAATCAGCTCAGTTTCAGCATAAGCACACACAATTTTTTACACATGAGATCAAACAGAAATAAAAATAATATAATATATTTCTATTTACTTGGATTTAGGCGTTGTCTTGGCATGAAATCAGCATTACATTTTGCATCTTTTCCTTTTGTGTGGCATTTTTCCATATGATCATTTAGATCATTTTTTGTTGGGAAATATCTATCTTGGCTCAATGGACAACAGAGGTATTGTCGATAAGTAGATTTGTGCACATTCCTCATATGTTTTCTTATTGTTTCTTCCGAAGAACACATTCCTTTTCTTAATCCATCGTAACATAAACCACAGAAATAATAATGCACATTATCTGACGCTTCGACTGTATGGAGAAAATGATGTCAAACAAAACAAAACAAAAATATAATATTTATATTTGTGATGATTAAAAAATTGAGTAAATAAATAATATCCGAATGAAAGAAAAAAACAATTTTTCATTTACCCTGTTTAGGAATGGTACAAGTTCTTGTTGTTGTTGTTACTTTTTTGGTTGGTCGTTCATCCAACTCGAAATCATCCAACTCGGAATCATCTGAGGATTCATCTAATCGATTTTCACCTGATGGTGCATATGAATCATCTTCATCTGTCTGGAATATATCTTCATCTGTGTCATCTTCATCTGTGAAATTGTATCGATGCTTTGATGTGTTTCGTTTTGCTCTGATGCTGCTGTGTACCAACTTTTTTGGTTGTTTTGTTGTGTTTTCCTTGTTGACACTGACTACGCTTGTTCGTTTACGCGAATTCGATTGGCTGATATCATTTTGATTCACAGTTGGTGATACAGTTTCGTCAGTGTTGAATGCCGGTTGTGTCGTATCTGTTTGGTCGGATGCTGCGACACTGGGAGCAGCTGGCTGACCAATTATACTCGTTGTTGGTTGTGGGAACAGAGTCGATTGGGGAAAAAATGAACTGCATTTAGAAAAAACATTTGAATCACATTGATTCGGCAATTGTCCCGTGGCTGGTTGATTTTCTTTGTTTTCGTCTTCGTCCTCGCTGCTAGATGATATCTCAATTGGTTTATCATCGATGCTATCTCTACAACCATATTTCGAAAAATGGTCAACTTCAAACACCCATCTTCCTGTTTCTGGACAGTATTCTACGAATCTTGTACCATCTTCAACACAACTTTCACGCAATGTCGCTGCATAATTCATCTCATCCAGACGTTCGCGTTCTTTAATCAGTTTGTACGTCAACTTATCACGGGGCCAGACTTGATCCAATGTTACTTGAGCCTTACGATTTAGACCTTCTCCAACTGGCGGCTTGTTTGTTATTTGAGCCTTACGATTTAGACCTTCTCCAACCGGTGGCTTGTTTGTTATTTGAGCCTTACGATTTAGACCTTCTCCAACCGGTGGCTTGTTTTCATCGTCTGGGTAAATGATGACTTCCTTGTGACGGAAGTGTACCAACTCATCCAAATTTAAGCCAGCAACATTGAACTCTTCATCGAAGTAAACATGACCGTAGTCTGTTCTACCGATTGTAAAGTGTGGTACGATACATTTTCCATCATCGGTCAAGTAGTTGGTTAATTCATCCAACGATGGGATGGTATAGTATCCCGGGCGTTGTAGAACTATGCCAGCTGGTAATTTTTCTTTTTTGATTGATACTTGTAGTGATGAATCCGACATTTGATCGTGGTTGTCGATGACTAGTAGTGATGAATCCGACATTTGATCGTGGTTGTCGATGGTAGCGGCCGCATTATTTGTATCGACGCTGCGACGACGAACTCGTTTTCGTTAACGTGACAATGGACTAGTGGAACCTTCTCGATCTGGAGACGAAAAGAAAACACACATTTAATAAATCAACATTGTACATGATTCGGTTTCAGCGTCAAAGACAGAAATAAAAGAAAAGAAACTGTATTCGTAATCGAATTTGCTTACCTCCAGACAATTTCGCATTTGGTCTTTTGTTATTTTATTCAATGGTCGAGCCCGTTTTGGCAGCTGAACCAGCTACACCACCGCTTACAGGTACTTGCTGTTTCTGTTGTTGTGCACTGTCACCACCTTTGGCTGACGATCCACTTCGATTATCCGATAGACCTTTGATTTGCAACGATTCGGCTGCTTTCAACAGTGCGGCCAGCTGATCTTGCGAGATATTCACTTCGCCACGATACATATAGTCCATCATGGCCCGAAGCTCTTGGAATTTCACATCCTTCAGGATAAAAATCGGATGTTTGTCGTATTGTTGCGAAAGAAGTAACTGTATAATCCACCATGAAAAAACAAACAAACAATGAAGCAATCAATAAAAAAATGAGCCGGAATTGTATTTTGTGTATTGTGAGTTTTCCAGCATGGGATTTAACACTTGAATTTCAAGTATGAAATGTGTATGATTGTTTTTTGTTGTCTCACTTTTCTAAAAATATAAACACCATAATTTTGTAACTTACCGCAAAGTATGGACTGCACGCACATAAGACCACCTTATGTGCTTCCAAACGCTTTCCTTCTGCAGCCAACGTGCAGTCAACCAATGTACCATTTTCTCGGAAAGCGTTAAATTCGCTGAAAATTGTATCCCGGTGTTTTTCCCACTGCAGACAAAACAGTTGGTCATCATCATCATCGTCGTCATCAACACTTTTACAGCTACGTACGGATTCACTTCGATTATGATGCGATCCAATTTGGCGAGAATCAAAAGAGTCAAAGTCACTTGATGTTCCATTTTGTGCATTTGGACCACCTATAAAAATAGTATTGTAAAAGAGTCCAAAATGATTAATATA